GAGCCTGAAAGAATGAACATATAAACGCTTTTCTGTCGGGTGAGCTTGTTAAACATGCCATTTCAGAGATTCATACCTGGAAGGAGAAGGGGGGGTGGTGCGGGAAGAGAGAGGGAAGGAGGGAGGGGGTCAGGGAGAAGTGGGAGAGGGTTTCCCAGTTTGGAAATGGGAACAAGGAGTGAGCTAGCAGGACGCGGAGCTAGATGACAGAGCAATGTGAGGACAACGTATCACTAGACCCTATTGTTTCCATCTCTTAAACCTTCTCTGGTTGCCGCTTCTCTCTGACACTCCTATCCACATACAGGCCCATATCATCTTTCTCTTGGAAAATATGACAGCCTCCTGAATAAATCCCCAGCCTCCATCTCTCCCGCCCCAGTCAACCCTCCATACACCTCAAAAGTGCTCTTTCCGAAATGAGGGTCAAACCAAAACAGCTTCCCAGTGCCTATAGCAGAGAATCCAACTTGCTCGGCATGACATACACGGACCCTTCTGACCTGATCCTGCCCTTCTCTCTCCAGACTGCGTTCTGCAGAAGACTGACCGAAACTGAGGGATATTGATGGGCACACCCACACACAATGGCTTCTTGGTTAAATAAGGGGAGGAAATGCTGGATTAGACAGAGTTAGCCCCAGGATTTCTCAGAGCCTTTTAAATGCTAATAGACATTGCAGACTTCCAAGGGGGTCCAGTAAATACTGTGGTGCTCTGGCCAGATCCCCTCTTTGGGGTGAATGACCCATCCCCCAGCTTCTGGGACTCTGGCCCACAGAGTCACACAGCTGGGTCACACAGCTGCCCTCCCCAGCTCTGCCCCTCACAGGATGACCCTCAGCCTTGGAGAACAGCCTTGTCCAAGGATCTGCGTCCTCTGAGGGGGATGCCCTCAGCCTGGGATTGGCTGATGGGGAGGACAACGGCCTGGCCCTCTTGCCTCACTGGAAGCACTCTGAGAGGCCATTCTAGCCCCAGAAATCTCCATAGGACAGGATGAGGCCTCGGTGCCAACTACACTGGGAATCCGCATGGCAGGCAGGAGAGTGTACCTCGCAGAACTCCAGCCACTGGGGGTGTGATCGGCCAAGGGAGCAGATGCGACCCTTTGAAACCCGTTGCATGTTTGCGCCCAGGCCACCCCACCATGGGCTGTTGTCAGTCAGTGACTGAGTGTCAGGGGCGCTAAGACTTTCCTGACAATCTAGATGCTTCCACCCAGCTTCCCCAGCTCCAGGGATGTTTGAGGTAAATGTTCCCCAACCACATGACCTTATTATAAATTGTGCTGGTCTGCACAATGATTAGTGTCGGTTGAGGCCTTGTTTAGGTAAATGAATAAGACGAAAGTGAAACAAGAAAAATGAGTATCAGAACTTTGCTTGTTGGTCAATAACTAGTGAATTCTTTGTTAACTCTAATAAGGGTTTTCAGCACTGGGAGGAGATGTCTTCAATTTTTGTGCTCTTCTCAATGCAAACAGCTGCAGACCTGATACACTTTTAGGCTTAATCTCATTATTAGCATTTTCTCCATTGCGGTCTTAAGCCCGACCATCAACAAAACATTGAATCAAGCGTTGATCTGCAGCATTTGTCAATATGTGGCGCAGAGAGTCACCACCGCTGATTTTAAGCTGCCAGAAAATGGTCCCAGAACGCAGGTTGGGAAGAGATGTGTACAAGGCCACCATTATTCGGGATTTCCATCATGTGGTTGCAATAGACGTAAATGACCTTAAGAACAGAGAATAGGAAGTGAGATAATTAGGAGATGATGACCTTTTGCTCACAACCAAAGATTTCAGGAAGCACTGGGATTCACTGACTCTCTTAAGCCGATACAACCGTCTTACACTGAATGAAATTTGGAATCCACATCCTCTGGTTTCTAGACTGACCTGTGAGTCCTATTTCATACCAACACTTATCGACGACCTGGAAAATCATCCAAAGCTCAGCTGGTGCTGACAACGACATGTTCTATGATGGTGGAAACAAAACTAATGTGCTTTTAGGTTTGTACCCGGCAAGATACTTTTAGAAAATTACTTAAATTTCCAATATAATGGTGACTATTTATTTTCCACTGCTTTCTTTTAAAATAATCAAAACCAGCTAAAAGTACAGATGTAACTATTTCTCTGAGTGCCGTGCCATTTTGATGGAAGCTGACATTAAAATTCTTAACAAATACACCCACTGTGGAATGCTAAAGTATACTTTCGGGCAATTTTTCAGAGAGCCATGGATTCCATTTATTCTTGTCACCATAGCAACAAGAAGAATCACTCTATTATTTTCACTGTGACATTTCCAATTATTTTTTCTCACAGTTTAGGCCACAGACAAAACTAGAAAGAATGGTGTTGGCCACAAAACAAGCCATAAAGTCAGAATTTTCTCTTGGGGCGAAAGGTTGCTCCTGGGTAGCTGATACCTTGAGCCCATTATGAATCTCATACTAAAGTCCCAGATCTTTGGGAAGAAAAAAAAAAGATTTACTTAAAAACTTGTCACATGACCCCTATTGACTTGGGGGAAGCAGAAGAGGAGATATTTTACCAATGGTGTAAACCAAAGAAAATTTAAAACTAATTGTCAGAGGGCTTTCCTTGGGGGGAGTGAAAGTAAATTACATCCCAATGATTATGGACTCTCAGTGATAAAGCAACATTCTGTTCTCTGCTTCTAACTTGTCAAATGTGGTATATTGGAGGGTAAGCTAACATGGCAACAATATAAACCCGGGGTCAGAGCATCAGACCCTGCCCTCCACATAAGACACAGGCGAAGAGAAACAAAACCAAGCAGCCCTGGGCTTTGCCAAAACACAATAGCATTTGACCCATAAGAAGAATGCACTTTCTGAGTGGCCAGAGGTAAATAAATTCCTCCTGCAGAAATGAATGTTTATGTATGATTTTTCTGCACATGCAGCGAGCATACTCAGGCCCTACAGCGTTGGGTATAAAATAATGCCACAATTTCATTGCTACCCACCAGATTTCAGGAACCACACCCGCTTCAGTCTCTCCTCCTGGTGCTGCTGCCTCATCTCAGATTATGGCAAAATTTGGCCCAGAGTCAGTCCAGAAGTCAGACCTCACCTTCCCCCTCTTTAGCCTCCCCATCAAGTCACTGATCTGTTTGTCCTCCTGATAGTTTTGCCTTTTCCAGAATGTCATATAAATAAAATCACATGGCCCTTTGGGTCTGGCTTCTTTTCTTTAGCTCAGTGCATTTGAGATTCTTGCCTGCTAGTGCACGAGTCAGTAATTCTGTTTGTATTTACTAATAGGATCAGAAGGAGAAAAAAATTATAAAACAAAATACAAGAAGATATTGCAAGCAGTAATGAATAGAGAATCCTAGTGGAACCGCCTTAAACCAAGTGAGCAAAATGATCACCAATTACAAAACAAGCCAACATCACATGGATAGTCCGAGCTCTACCTAAAGATCAGGTATTTGGGTTATATTTAGGAGACTGAGCACTTCCTGATTAACTGCCTGGGCTTGAATTCTGGATCACAGATTATTATACTCCTGTTTCCCCTACAATTATAAAGATAAGCCTTTATCTCTCTCTACTTCTTAATTACTAATGTGTCATGGTTTAAAAATCTGAGCCTTGAAAACACTTCCTAGAAGGATTTCTTCAATTACAAATTTTTAAAAATTAAAGATTTTTTATCATAAATATATAGTCATTGTATAAATTTGGGAAAAATGGGAAAATAGAAGGAAGATTCAAGTCCTGCATTGCTGTTGACTTTAACAATCAGACATCCCCACGCGATATGTGTGCTTAGTTCTTAACTACTTCCTAGTCCGCTGCATTTTTCTGCAAGAGAGAGAAACTGGATTTCAGCTCCACAATTATGGCTCTCTTCACGCAGCTTGACTTCTGCAGGAAAAGTCACAGGGCACATCCATAAGCCTCATGACTGCCCTTTCTTCTACAAAAGCATCAAAGCTAATTTTCAAAAATTAAAAACATGATCCATGCACAAATAGAGGATGAAAGCTTGCCAAAGATTTATTCTATTCTTAATGAGAGAACCAGCAGGATGGTTCAAGGAGCTTTTCAAGAAGTGAGTATTTATGGGCATTTGACAAAAAAAAAAAAAAAATGTTAGAGTTCTAGGTTATGCAACACTGGTTAATGTCCCACAGACCAATAAAGCAGTAACCTTTCCGTTATCTTTTCTACCGCTTAGAAATTATTTGCATCTTTTCCAGACAAATATCTCAAGATAACATGTAACTTCATAGACTCTGGCCCTTTAATCATTAATAGATAGCAAGACAAACAAGAACATTGCCCTAAATATTTCAATAATGCTGGGGTAGACTTGTTAAATAATGCTTTAAGATGACATCAAAAAGACATGCTCTCCTCTTTTTGCCTTACTTCCAAGTTTCGAATACAAAATTCACTTTTAAAAAAATCTCTCAAAATTTCTTTTCTGAATATATTTAAATAGTCTAAAATAGCAGACAAATGGACTTTTTGACAGTAACCTACACAGTGAGTGTTTCTACGTAGTGAGAAGGTGCTGACGCGTGGGAAAAGTCTTTAGGGTAGGGTTGCAGGTTTAGCAAAAAAAATACCAGACACTCAGTTAAATGTGAATTTCTGATGAACAGATAAGCAACGGATGCTTTTTACTATAATGTAAGTATAGTAAACACATAAACAATAATTTTTGGTGTATAAGTAGGTCCCATATATTGCATGTGTACACATTATTATTTCTTTGGGCCCTGCCAGTTCTAATATTCTATAAAGATATCCCCTTAACAACAAATCATGAATAGGATACACACGTTTTTTTTTCCTAAGTGCATTTTGAATCCCTTCATAATTCATATTTCCCGCTAATCATGTTCTACAAATACACTGTGTGTTTGAATACTGTACTCCATTTGGTTTGCTCTAAAATGAGCAATTTAAAATGTCAGAGAATCCCAGGGTTAGATCGTACAGGGAGACAGTGAGACAGCTTTGTGGCCGGACAACACCTGGGGTTTGGCTCTTGGTGAGACAAACGTGATCACAAACACTCACTTTGTTCCTGACCTTCCCGAGGCAAGGACTTGAATAACCCCCTATTGTTTATACCGACCTAATTCAAAGTTCTTTGCAGCTTACCTCCCAGTACTTACTGACAACTGGTCTTCGGCGGCAGTTGGCTTTTGCTGCTTCGTCTCCTGATTCTACACAGTCCTGGGAAGTTTTCCTGATCCTTTCTGATGAAGTCAATTTTCCTTCGATTCTTTTTTTCAGACTTAGCTGGTAACGTGGTGCATCTTACCATGTCTCTAATAAGTGGAACAAAAACTACAGTATACATTTTTTCTATGCCAAAAATAGAAACTGAACATGTGTACCATTCTGCAAAATAAAAGCATATCTCAGAAATGAACATCATTAAGACAAAATAAAAGCATATCTCAGAAATGAACATCATTAAGACCAGTGAATTTGTATGCTCTCACTTCATCTCTAGAAACTTCTCCAGTCGAACCAATGAGAAAACAAGCTCAATAGTCAGTGATGGATCCATCTCAGAGGAGCAGAAATATATATATGTGTTGTTCTCCCGAATGAATGACTATAGCTACAACAAGAAGCCAGTCTGAGCTACTGTCCTACTCATCAGCTATCCCAGGGCCATGCTGTTGGAGATTCTGGAAAAACGCAAACTGTAGAGACTGTTATTCCAGCCTTGGGTGGAGTAAGAAGTAGCACATCTAGAACTCAGGGTCCTTCTTCAGTTCCCATATGTGGTGGTGTATCCTAATTACCTCAATCATCAGGATTTACCTCTCTTCAGACTCACTAAGTGGATTACTAAAAGATGTAAGTCAGGCAGAGGTAAAGGGATTCAAGACGGATGGTCTGAAATACAAGAAGATGTGAAGAACAAAGAAAGAGAGAAATCTGTAGACTAATGTACGTGAATATGGACTAAATAACTCTATGTAAATTAGTAATGACAATGTCTAGTGAAGTTTTAAAAACAACTGAAGTACATGACAATATGTAAGTCAAGAAGATTAATGAGTTTAAACTGTTCTAAATTCTCATACTGTCCAAAATCAGAGTAAAAATACCGATTGATTTAGAATCTGGTAAAATAAGTATGCAAGTGAAAATATCTCAGGTAAGCAGTAAGAGAATAGAAACAGAAAGAATAATTTCAAAGCTGGGATTAAGAAATAAATGAATATGGAGAGAACACTATTTCATTCCAAAATAAAGAAAGGAAGAAAGAAGAAAAAAAGAGAAAAAGCAGGACAGATGGAAAGCACAAAATAAAATGATATATTTAAACCTAAACACATCAGTAATCATATTAAATGGAAATGGATTAAATTCTCCAGATAAAAGAAAAATATTGTCAGACTGGATTTTAAGAATTAAATCCAACCCCATGCTATTTATAAAAGACACATCCAATACGTAATAATAGAGAAAAGTTGAAAGTAAAAGGTGGAAAATGATATACCATGCAGATACTATAGAAAAGATAGGTGTTACTATAAAAACAAAATAAGGCAAAAAAGCAACAGGATAGGAAAAGAGCCGTATCATAAAGACAAAAGATTCAACTTACTAGAGGACTTTTAAAAATTTAGCTTATGTGAATTTAAGATAACAACCTCAAAATACCTAAAGCAAACATTGCAGAACTATGAGAAATAACAGAATGATCCACAATTACTATGAAAGATCTCATTATACCTTTCTGAGTTTTTAATATAGCAAGCAGAGGGTGTCAGTAAAGCCAGAAGCTTGTTCTTTGTAAAGACTAATAAAAGTAACCAATCAGGTGGGGGGGAGAGAGAAAAAACACCAATAGCCACAATCGGGAATGAAAAAGAGGATGCTGAAGATGCACAAAAGGGGAGAAGATAAAGACAAAACAGAGGAGAAACGACTCTAAACAATTTTATGCCAATAAACCTTTTCAGAAATGAGTATTTCTAGAAAAAATGTAACTTATCAAAACTGATTCACAGGGGTGCCTGGGGGGCTCAGTCAGCTGAGCGTCCAGCTCTTGGTTTTGGCTGAGGTCATGATCTCAGGGTCATGGGATCAAGCCCCATGTCAGGTTCTGCACTCAGCGCGGGGTCTGCTTGACATTCTCCCTCTCCCTCTGCCCCTCCCCTTTCTTGTGCCCCCCCCCCATCAAATAAATAAATAAATCTTTAAAAAATAAAATAAAATAATGTCTCCAAGACTAGTGGGTGAGGTTAAGCTAAAAGAAAAGCAACCACAAAACCAAAGCAACTGGGGATAAGTCTTCATTGCATCCGTGTCTGAACCAGGAAAACAAGTCACGATGTGAAGAACAGCGACCAGTTTAACTATAAGCATCCTAGGCATTGCAAAAGGGCATAAAAACATTTCTGAAAATGAATTCATAGTATATTCATATTATTACTTTTTTATTTTAGCAAGGTCTGCTAAATACATTTGGAAACTTGCCTGGGACTCTTCTCATGCAGATTCTGTTTTTCGCCTCTCTTGGTGGAAGATCACTTTTCCACACTTGGCTTCTGGTTCTTTTCATTCTAACCCACTCTAATATTTCCTTTTTCACTACTTGCCAAAAGAAGTATATAAAATAAACTTCCTTAAAATAAGACTGAGGCTTATTCTGTTTTTAAAGCATACTTTAGGCTCACAGAAATATTTTTTTGAAGTGAAAGATCATTTGTTTCTGAAATCTTTTTTTTTTAAGATTTTATTTATTTATCTGTCAGAGAGAGAGAGAGAGAGCACAAGCAGGGGGAGCAGAGGGAGAGGGAGAAGCAGGCTCCCCACTAAGCAGGGAGCCTGATGCAGGGCCCGATCCCAGGACCCCGGGATCATGACCTGAGCCGAAGGCAGATACTTACTCTACTGAGCCACCAAGGCGCCCCTGAAATCTCTCAAATATGGCTTAATATGTAGGATTACATTATGATTATGATTATATTCATTCACTTACTTGGCCTATTTTTCCAATGTTTCTGAATGACTATGTAAAAAGATTTAACAGATACAACACACGTGGTTTTGTGTAGAAAAAACCGCTGGCACACTGCTTAACAATCGAGGGACTGAGGAACAAGCTTGAATTTTTTTTTTTAGGTTTCTTTGAATCTTGAGTAGTATAACTATCAAATAATTTAAATAAAATTTGTACTTTCAGTGTTTTCAATGTTTCTCCCTGTAATTCATTCTCTTTTGCTCCCCAGAGAAAGAGGAACCAGTGAGAACATTCATATCCAGCCCCCACTTTGTGGTAAAATCAAAGACCTGAGTAAATAGAACGGAGTTCTGCTCTAAGCTGAGAGAACTGTCATCACCATCAGAGGGCAAAACAAATTTACCAACGATAAACAGTTAAGCTCTAAATTCATGTCAACAGCCTTGTGTCTCTGAAAGCAATGTTTTATTCCATATTTCCTACAGTTAGGAAAATGCGGATAGAATTTCCACTACCTGTTATTTAATAAATATTGCCCCATTTCATTTGCTGAATTCTGTCCTCATTCTCTTCAACAAGACTGAACACTGCACTTAGGAAAGCAGACACACTTAAAAATATATTTAACTAGACTCTATTTATCCTACCTTGTAGTTTCAAGGTGAAATTTCGGATTTTAAAATTGTAGTTACCTCAAATCATTACCCAAAATGGGGGTGTAATGATACCTTGCATTTATGATTATTGATGTACCTTTTTATAGATTCATTTTTATGTGGAACTACTGATTTTATATGCATTGATGAGCATAATTGTAATTAGTTGTCTAGCTTGGTAAATGAGTATCTGAGATAATTTATGAGTGTTTCTAATTCTTAGTTTGGAGTTGACATTTTGATATTGACTTGAGTATTTTACATACCTAGCTGGATACATTTGATAACTCACATTTACAGTGGAGGAGATCACTGCAGATATTTATAAACATAAAGGTAAGCCTTGAATTTATCCATTCAATGCTTAGTTTCTTTAAAGGGTAGTGAGCCTCTACTGCCCAAAAAGGACTCTCCAGCCTGGAAAGGATTTCCTAAAAATATTTTGGTTTTCTCAAGTTAAATTTATTGAAGTTATAAAGTAGAAACCTAGTAGCTTTTAAAGCTTCAAGCTCAATTTCTAAATCTTGCTATTTTACTTATAAATCTAACAAATTTTATGTGGAAAATAACAATTGTTTTGAGCTGTTCCTTTATTAGCATTTCAGTGAACTCTACTAACCAAATCATCCTTACACATTTATTTAATATTACTTAGAAAATTAATCAAATTCCCTTAGACATTTCAAAGTCTAATAAATTTAATGTATCTGGTTCTCTCAAGTACTTCAAGCACCTAAGAAAATATCTTAGGTTAGGCTCACCAATAGCACACTCAGACAAAAATTCACGTAAAAGTGATTTATTAGGAAAAAAATTGGTAGGGGACTGAGGAATTAGGGACAGAAAGAGGAGGCCACACAAGAGTGTGATATCAAGCAGACCACCAGGTAGGGTGACGTTGACTCAGTCCCACACAGAAGTTCTGCAGGTTACACTTTTAAATTGTCCTAATTAGTAGCCAGAAAAGCCAGAGTATCATATCCAGGGCTGCACCAAGTGAAATGGAAGTTCTCAGACACTTCCAGCTTTGGCAGCGTGAGGGCAGCCCTCTGACAGAGATTCGGTCCTAGCCGTTGAGAGTGAAAGCCAGCCAGGAGCCAGAGTACGCCACGATGGAAAAGGGATGTGAGGGCACATGGGTGGAACACCACTCAGATCCCTCCAGGCCTCTCCCGAGTTCGCTCCACTACTCTTTCAGGGTGGTAGCTGGTCACAAGTTCAAAAGAAGGGTTAGTGGAAGGCACTATGGCAGATTGGTCCTCCAGCTGTAAATGATTTTCATCTCCCTCCTCTCCTCTCCATTTGAGGTTCCCCTCATCCTGGGCCGCCATTTGTCTGATGAGGTGCCCCAGACATCATTGCTGAGGAGCCTGCACCCCTGGTTACCATGCCCTGGTCACACCATAGTTGCTTATTGGCAATTAAAATTCTAGAACAGTAAGAGATGTCCTAGTGGGGGTTCTGCCCCCACTCTGTGGCAATAAGCATACCTCCTCACGATAACCTGTCAGTATATTAACTCCCTCTTTGTCTGCTGGTCCACTGTCAGGAGGAGACCAAAGGACCTGACCAGGTGGCACTCACAGCTTCAGATAGACTGGAAATGTTATTGCATCTCTGACGGGAGTGTCCTCTCTGCAGGCCCTCGCCTTCCCACTGGGCACAAAGTTGCAAGTACAAGAAG